CTCTCTGTGTCTGTGTGTGTGTGTGTGTGCGCACAGGTAGAGAAATGCCCTCAAACCTCACTCACTTTCTCTACCACTCAGCTATTATGACCCAGGATGCCTTCTATCCTAGCTATGGCTACCTAGCACTCATTATCACTCACACTCAGTGTCTGTTTCACTACGGCGCTTTTGCTCTGAATGCAGCAGTCCACCCTCAAGGCAGAGCAAGGCAGAGTGAACCAATCTGCTGGGGCAGGCCGCTCGTATGTAGTGTTGGCACAGCATGGCCTGCCTCCTCTCGCCTCCTCGAAGGACAGATTTCTTGATCTGTGTGGCGAAGATTTGCTGGCGGCAAGTGTGTGCTGTGACCCGGTGAGCCATGGAAACTTCCTGGAACCTGCACTGAGCCTTCGGACGCGCGTGAGAGCTGTGGCGGTGGTCGGCTCCTGAGACATCTTGAGGCCTACCACCAACCCAACGACTGACTACCTGGCGCCTCTTCAGAGGCTGTGCATGAGACTTTTGAGGCTAGAGCTTTGGCATGACCGAAAGCTACGGCCCCTGGACCAGTTTTGTGGAGGAGATTTTGCGCTTGGTTCTTTGCACAGAAAGGATAATAATGATGCACCGATTTCAATCTCACTATACGGTACCGCATCACGATGGGTGTAGCACTGTGAAAGAGGGAGACAGCAGCACGATCAGACTGGACTATCACCACAAGTTTATTTTGTAGTAGTACGCCCCCTTCGATATGGTGGATGCAAAGGGTAATCAAACAAGTAGGCAACATCATCCGATACAGGACGCGGCGGTGGACGGGTAGTCCTAGGAAGTTATCTTCAAGAACAATCTGGCCGGAGCAGGATCGCAACTCTGCCACGAACAGCGCTAGCGTACTTAGAACGGTGGGCGCACATGTTCGGAGTGTGTGGTGTGAGGGAGGAGGGAGGAGTAACAAGGCACCTACCTACACACGTATTGCAATGTTGGGATGGAGGAGGGGGACAAGTCACCTACACACACTTAATGCAATGCAAGATGAACACACTCTACATGACCTATGGGTGCAGCAGTACTCTTTTTGCCTGGTTGCTTGGCCACTGGCAATTCTGCACTGTGGACTTAAAGAGGTCACTGCGCTATATTTGGAGTGTGAGAGGCGACTGCTGTTAGGCCCACCAGTCCAATGATCTGTCAATAGACAGTCCGCAGACTACCCACAGACCCTCCATCACGACAGACCATCCATGACTGCACACAGACTCTGTCCAATAAGACCATTCAACGACTTGCCAAAGACTCCGCGGGAGTGTGAGAGGCGACGCTGTGCGGTTCATTCATTCAGCGGAGTCATCTTCTCCTGCACATATGTGCAGTCCTACCGTCTTCACCCGAGTAGAGTAGAACGCCTGGTCATTATAGCTGTATTTGGCACAACTTTCGGTCCAGATGCGGCGATAATGACCGGGTGTTCTATTTGGGTGAAGAAGGTAGTGTGTGTGTGTGCTGTTGTTGAACGTGTTTGTCGACCCAGCCATCTACCTACCTCCCCCCATCACCCTCCTCTCCTATCATACCCTTGTGTTTGTCGACCCAGCCATCTACCTACCTCCCCCCATCACCCTCCTCTCCTATCATACCCTTT